CGACATTTTTTGCTTTCATTCAATAATTTTTTTTATCTCACCCTGCAACAAGAACAAGAAACCAGTGTGTCAAATTTGCTGTAGACGGGTTCAGATATAGCTATAGCTCCCATATATATTGTTCATCCGATTTGTTGAATTTGTCCTGCACAGCCGTAAATCAAAGACAGCTCAGAAATACATTTGTCAAATTTTATCGAGATCGGTTTAAATTTGGATATAGCTCCCATATATATCTTTATCCGATTTCAAGTTAATTGTGCACTAAATGGGTAATACAAACCCGAATTGAAAAGGCACAAATGCCTCGGCAGCATCCTCTCTTATATTAGTTTCTTTGGACTTTAAATTATAACTATAATCAGGGGTTGGCAGATATAAATGATCATTTTCACAACAGATCGACGAGTAGCAGGCTTAGTGGCAAGTCCTTACCATGATAAGGAGACTATGTCATGGTGGACATCGTCACCTCCACAGTCCATAATGTTTATGGAGAATAACGAACAAAAAACAACTACAACAAAAAACCAAACTCTGACCCAACTTCACCTGCCTCATTGAAGGCATCGACCCAAGACACGACCACGGACATAAACACAAATGTGGGCGGGGACTTGACACTGTCAACTTACCAAAACGTTGTTTGTGAGCACATACTAAGACAGAGTGAACAGCTGTCCGACCTTCTTGAAAAGGCCAGAATCCTCAAACTCCGCCAGGAGAGCCTCGGCAACATTTAGTAGAAACCTATTCAGAGGAGAATATTCCTCTCTTATATTAGTTCCTTTAGACTTTAAATTATAACTATAATCATAGTTGCTATGAATTCCCATAAAAACTTTTACTAAATATGCAAAGTGGTGTAGGGTATCATAAAGTCGGCCCGCCCGGCTTTAAGACTTTCTTTAGTGGTTTCAGTCTCAGCAATTACCATAGATTTTGATATATTTCAAAAGTAGTTCGGCGTTCATTGCAATTTAATTATTGCGCCTAAAAGTATGCTATTCAATTTCAGTACTGACCATCATCAAAGAGGTTCATCCTTGTAATTTATTTATCTGCCAGTGGAAACTGAACATCGGGATATATTCAAATATAACTTCAGTGTATTGTAAATAATCGCTCAATTATTCCAACTTACGAACAATACAAAACAAATGCAACTAATTACAGTACATCTCTGTCAGTCCGTCATCCTCTGACACAACAAAGAAAAAAAAAAACACGAAAACTCCCAACCGATAAATTTATCAAAGTGAAAACTATTTTAGAACTCCCTTTTGTGTGTTTTGCAAATAAAATGCCAAGCTAATAGAGCTTCTATCCGGATGGTATCTCGAGAATAATAAACACTTTGTTAAATTTTGAAATGGCAACAACAGCAACAATAACCACACAAAAAAGTGCTAGTTATAACTAAACATAGCAAAGAAGAGCACTTATAAATAACAGACTAATGAAAAATACATTGTATAGTTTTTGTTGCTGTTGTTGTTGGTTTTTGCCATTTTCATTTTGAAAGATATATATTAGCGCAAAGACCAAAGCGAAACAAACAACCAACCAACCAACATACAAAAGGAGTTAACTAAAGTGTACTTAAAACCACTAGTCATTCAAAACTAACTACCCGAGCTGATACCAAAGGAATTAAGAGGAGAGATCTACCCATAAATATGTATTTAAAAGATATGTTAGAGGGACAAACGAAAAATGCATCTATGTGGTGTTTGTTTGGACATTAGCCTTTTGTGTTGCTACAGTTTCAGGGATAAATATGGTGGACACAATGCACAAACTGCTATAACATTTGGAAAATTTAAAAATTTTGGTGTCACAACTGGAAGCGGAAATTGGACCTTAAGGACAAATAACAAGTTAAAAAGTCTCAGTCGGTTTAGCCGATATACCCTCAGTTAATACTCGATTATTTAAATAAATGTTGACTTCTGTTATGATTATTCAAATTGATGACTCTCTATGGAGTATATTCCGAAGGAATGTGCTAATAGTGTCCATTACGTATCGGAGCTAAATATTTATGATATAAGTATTGCGACGAGCCAGGTCTGGACTATATTGGTTACTTCCTTCACTTTATACGAGATATGTGATCATTTTTAGAAAATGTTAAAATGTGGGTGAGGAACCAGACATAGACGGCCGAAGTATTCCATTTTCACATTCGAACATTTATATTCAATTTTATGCGAAATCATAAATTCCATATTCATCTCAGGTTTCTGGTTGAGAGAAATATTTAGATATAGCAAGTTGTAAAGGATCGTTGAATTGTTTCGCAAGTTATGGCAGATAAAAGTATTGAAAATTGTGACCCTTTGTGGCGAGAGGTACCAAAAGGGGTTCGCAGATTTATATCGTCTTCACAGCAGATATTGTGTTAGCAAAAATATTTGGGTGTGTGAAATTTGAAGAGAGATGGATGCTAATTTCGGCCTCTTTGAGCGTTTTTCAAAATCTTGAACCCTATGTGGGGAGGTACCAGAAGAAATGGTCCCATCTCTACCATCTACACAACAGATCTTGTGTTGATCGAAATTTTGAAATGTACCAAGTCTGAATGGAATCGGATGTTAATTTCTCGTTTTATGAGCTTCAAGGATATTCAAAAATTTGACCCTTTGTGGGGGAGGTACCAGAATAAGTGGACCGATATATCCCATCTTCACAACAGATCTTGTGTTAGTAGAAATAATGGGATTTGCGAAATATGAAAAGAGTTGGATGCTTATTTCGGATTTTATAATCGTTTTGGTTATTCAAAACTTTGACCCTTTGTGGGGGAGGTACCACAAGGAATGATCCGATCTCTACCAGCTTTATAACAAATCTTGTGTTAATGGACATATTGAGATGTACCAAGTCTGAATGGAATCGGATGTTAATTTCTCGTTTTATGAGCTTCAAGGATTTTCAAAAATTTGACCCTTTGTGGGGGAGGCACCAGAATTAGTGGACCGATATATTCCATCTTTAAATCGGACCTTGGGTTGATAAAAATATTGTGATGTGTGTAATTTGAAGACAATCGGACTCTAAAATGTGATTATAGGAGTTCTAATTATTCAAAATTTTGACCCTTTGTGGGAGAGGTATGAGAAAAAATGGGCCCATCTCTACCATCTTCATAACAGATCTTGTGTTAATGGAAGTATTGAGATGTGCCAAGTCTGAGTGGAATCGGGTGTTAATTCCGTGTTTTATGAGCTTCATGAATATCAAAAAATTTTGACCCTTTGTGGGGGAGGTACCAGAAGGAGTGAACCAATATATTCCATCTTCACATAGGACCTTGGCTTAATAAAAATATTGCGATGAGTGTAATTTGAAGACAATCGAACTCTTACATCACATTTTATAGGAGTTCTAATTATTCAAAATTTTGACCCTTTGTGGGGTGGTACTTTCATTTTCCATTTTCGCACCTGACCACTGATGCAAATATTACGATCTGCAAGGTTTTAGTGAAAACGAATTATCATTTTCTTTTTTTTTTTTTTTTGAATATTTCAACCTTTTCTGTGAAGAAATGGGCCGATATTGCCAATCTCCGAACTCGATATAAGTTTGATAATAACATTACGGTGTACCAATTTTTAGCGAAATCGGATACTCCCTTCGAGCGTTATTGTGCCCACCAGTCAGCTAGACAGACGGGCGGGCAGTGTGCGTGATTTCTTTATATTTGCCTGGAAAACCGCCGATGGTCGCTCTCCGCTCGTATTAATCGACCGTAGCATCAGAATAAATACCGAATATCGAAATATAATCGAAAATATTCTGGAGGGTGTATTAAAGCGTTGGGCACGCAAACATTTTGGCCGCAGACCTTGGACATTCCAACAGGACTCAGCACGTGCCACCCAAGAATGGTTACAAAATAAGGTTCTTCGCTTCATTTCCAGCGCACAAGGGCCACCAAAATCTCCGGATACCAATCGTTGGACTATTGTGTCTAGAGTATTTTGGAAAGCAAGGTTGGCACTAAAAAATACCAAAGTGTCGATCACCTCAAGCAAGCGCTTCGCCAAAACACCACAGAGCAACATTCCGGCAGCGTGTGACGGTTTCATATGTTTGTGTGTTCCGACGATGACGATGTACCAAGTTTGGGCCACATCGGATACTCCCTTCGAGAGTTATCGTGCGCACCAGCCAGCCAGCCAGACAGATAGGCGGACGAATTTGGTCCAAAGAGACCTAGGTTCTAAAACCGTTGTTTCGATGAGGCACGTTTTGGCCATATCAAATAATATATACACTCTCTAGCCATATGGCGGAGGTTATAAAAAGGTATATCTGAGGACGCTTGTTAATACGTTGGAAGTTACAGAATAACTGAACCATTTTGAAAAATTTGTAAGATTGTGCTTTCCGGGGATAAAGTGAAATGTTGATTTACAACTACATTGGTGCTGAAGCCATACAAAACTTTCAAACCGAAGGACCTATGTTAAGAATCATTTTCTTCATTTCTTCAACCGGATACTGTAGATTATATAAAGGACCAAGGATATGTAATCAAATGCAGTGAATTACAACTAAAGGGAGCATTAAATGCTCTATTCAAATAAAAAATAAAATCTTTTAAATAATAGCAAAGCTAATAAGTATTAAAAAAAGATAGACAAAAAGTAAATAAATACAACATTACACACTAAGAGATAATAACAAAAATACAGATATAAAAAGAAACTAAAAAAATAATAATACAAAAAAGATACAAAAAGTTTAAAACTAATACAACAAATACAGAGGGAGAATAGTAATAATAGTAAATACAGAAGAAACATAGACAACAACAACAACATCAACAAGAATAGTAATAATAAAACATAACACAAAGAGAACAGGAATTGGAAATTAAACAAATACAACAATTGCTATTTTAAAATGTAAGTTTTAATTCTTTTTGTTGCAATAGGAATAGTTGTAGTTGTTTTTGTTATTGTTAAAAAATTACACAATTTACCCACCTTACTATAAAGCGTTGTGCTGCCCGACCGCTGATTAAAACCATTGCCCTGGTCCGTATAAGTCTTTACCTGTGTATGACGCTGGTCCCTATCGTAATAATTGCGAGGCATTCCATGGGGTGAATGTTGATTATTGGCCGATGGCATACCACCGGCACCGCCGCCACCACCCGCACCGCCATTGCCACCGCCAGCACCTGGTTTGCCACGAATACTGCCGGCCGAATTTTGTTGATTGTTAGCATCACGTTCAGTGGTTATCGTGCTAATGGCTTGATTTTCTTTATGAGAACGACGTGCAGCATATTTATCGGGTTTGAGAAGACTATTCACATACATACATCCATATCGAACCATACCATAGCATGTGGTCAAGGATTAACAAGCATGATGATGCCGGCATTGTTGTTGGTTGTTGATAATAATCGGAAGTGATTATCAAAGTGTTGCCGTTTAACCGATTCGAAAATGTGCAATCATCAAATAATAAACGAGGACATGAAGAGAGAGAAAGAGCGAACAAGTTTATTTATTATTAATTACATTACGTTATGAAATCAAATTAAATCACAATCAATTGCTGTGTCCATTAGTTTTTTTTGTTTTACTACTCACCTTGGATATTGAGGACCGAATTGAGTGTAGCAGCAATTATGCCAACAACCTCGGGAAAATGGATTATAGCCACCTTTGAATTTACCTGTCACCTGTTCATTTGTGGTGCGACCCCGCGAGACCAGTACCATGTGGAAGCCGGTCAAACCAAATATGGGTATAGCTAATATTGTTACAATACCCATTAATACCATACTATGGAAATAGAACAAGGAAAAGAAAGAAAACAATAAAATATGACTTAAATGGTACGAATGAAAGGATTGTAGTCGGTTGGACCTAAAATTGTAATACTCGACACCATTATGATTACTTTCAGTCTTATTTACAAAATTTGAAAAGACGTGTTTAAGAAGTGTTTTTTTTGTTTCAGCGTAAGAAGGAAGCAGAAGGCAAGCTGACCAAATTTTAAGGACATCTATGGTCATAAGGATCTAATGACCAATTCAATTCTAGAAAAACCATAAAATTTGTGACTGTCTTAGAATTTATAGAGCGTCAGATAATTGCAACATTCATGGTTATGATGCGGTAGGGAAATGAGGATCTAAGTCAAGTAAGACGGATTGCGATAATAAGATGAAGTCGACTGGTTCGGCTAATCCGAAACAATTCAACAATTCCCTTTAAAACAACACTTTTTAAGCTCCCCACAAAGAAGCCAGAGACAAATTCTAGAATTTGATATTGACAAAATGTATTCAAAACCAGTTAAAAAGTATCAGTCGGGTTTGCCTACAGATGTATACGCTCTGCCAATGTTCGATTATTTAAATGTATTTTGACTTCTGTTATAATTATTTAAATTGTCGACCCTCTATGGAGTAGGTTCCGAAAGAATGGGCCAATATTGTCTATTTCGTATTGGACCTAAATAAATATGCTATAAATATTGCGACGTGCCGGGATTGGACTACATTTTTAGAAAATGTTAAAATGTGTGTGAGGTACCATATATACTGGGTGAGATAAAAAAACTGCAAAAAAGTCAAAATCCATAATTTTTACATATTTTTTTAATTTCATTGAATGAAAGCAAAAAATGTCGGAAATAGCATCAACATTAGAAAGAAAAAGAATAAGTTTAGATTTGTTCGAATTGGCTACATTTGGCACGAATTATCGCCTTCAAACGGCCAATGAAACCGTCACATGCTGCCCGAATGTTGCTCTGCGTTATTTTGACCAATTCCCGGCGAAGCGCTTGCTTGGGGTGATCGACACTTTGGTATTTTTTAGTTCCAACCTTGCTTTCCAAAATACTCCAGACACAATAACCCAACGGATTGGTATCCGGAGATTTTTGTGGCCATTGTGCGCTGGAAATGAAGCGAGGAACCTCATTTTGTAACCATTCTTGGGTGGCGCGTGCTGAGTCCTGTTAGAATGTCCCAGGTCTGCGGCCAAAATGTTTGCGTGCCCAAGGCTTTAACACACTCTCCAGAATATTTTCGCGATAATATTCGGTATATATTCTGATGCCACGGTCGATTAATACGAGCGGACAGCGACCATCGACTGTTATGGCGGCCCACACCATCACCATCGCCGGCGCTAGAGTTCTGGTGGCCAACCGAAGGTGCACATTTTCAGCTGACCACTTTGACAAGTAAACACGATCATTTTGTTTGTTCACAAACTGCTGGAGAACGAATGTTTTCTCATCGGAAAAAAAACCAAATTCGGCAGTTCACCTCTTTCGGCCAAGAGAAGAAACTCTTTAGCTCTTTTGAGTCTATTATTATTCTGTTGCGGTGTAAGTTCTGGCACTTTTTGGAGCACATTTTTCAATATCTTCCGAAATGAATATTGCGATATGTTCAGCTCACGAGCCATTTTTCAGCCACTGCGACGTGGGTTTCGATCAAGTCGCTTCTTTACTATTCGAACCATTTCCACTTATGTTGCTGTTTTCTTCCATCCACTTCCTTGACGTCGGGCTACGCTACCAGTATCGCGATAAGGAGCGATGGTACGACACACAAACATTTTATTCACATTTAAATGCTGGAGTGCTCTAACGATAGCCACATGTGGTTTTCCAGGCAAATATAGAGAAATCACACTATCACGTTTGAATTCCATCACGAATAACTTTTTTTCTGGAAAATTCTCAACAAACTGCTTTTGTTCGCTTGTAAATAATATAATGAGCTGTCACTGGAATAATTGTAACAGCTGTCGGACGAGTGGTTTAGAAATGAGAGCAGTCTGAAGTTGGTTTCAGTTTTTTATCTCACCCTGTATAAGAGTTATAATTATTCAAAATGTGTACCCTGGATGGAGTGGACCGATGCTGTCCATTTTCGCACCTGACCTATCACTGATGGAAATATTAGGATTTGCAAAGTTGGAGCAAAATCGGATTATCCTATTACTTTCTGTGCAGCAAATTATTTTCTTTGAAAATGTTGACATTTTATGGGGGAGGTACCACAAGCAGTAGACCGATATTGCCTATCTCCGAACTCGATCTAAGTTTGACAAAAATATTACGATGTACCAAGTTTGGATCAAATCGGATACTCCCTTCGAGAGTTATCGTGCACACCAGCCAGACGGATGGACGAACGGACATCGCTAGATCGAAATGTCCTGAAATGGATTTGTTCCAAAGAGACATAGGGTCTAAAATCATTATTTCGATGAGGCATGTTTTGGCTATATCAAATGATATATACCCTCTCTAGCCATATGGCTAAGGGTATAAACATTGCCGCTGATTCAAATGACCTATATGCCTAATAAAAAATTCCAGCCCCTTGTCCATCCAAAATACTAAATAACTCACTGGTTATTGAGAGTCACAACAGTGATGAGGGAAAATTTCCCTGTAGAGTGACTCTCTGCTTGTCAGAATTAAAAAGGTGGAGCTTAATTTTTCATCAGTTAGCCCTTCCAAGGTATATACAACGTGTTTGATAAACTTGTCTTTGTTCCGACTTAAGTGATGTCTCGATGTTATCACCAGGTCCAACCACTTCTCTAAAGTCATACAGAGTACCTTCAAAGAACCATGTCATTAACCGATACCTCATAATGGTGCAGAGTAAGTGATGTCTGCTTCTGACTACAAACGAATTTAACGAATTTTTAATTAAAAATATGTCATAAAGCGCTTCAATACTTACGATACTATTGGTGCTGTATGCCTTATATTTGGCATAATTTTTAATACATAAAATAAGCATAACGAAAATATGCTTAACATGTGTATCGACAATGAAACCAAAAAGAAAAAGAAAAATCTATAATTTCGACGTCCAATGCAATTATTCACCCAAGGACAGTGATGATCGAATGTCTGTAACGAAATAATGAAATAGTAGTAGCAACAGCAACAACAAGGTAGGATAGGAGAGAGATTTTCAATATACAAGAAATCACAAACAGATGCACACAGTCGATTTCACATGCAGCAATGAAGGGAGGATGGGAAATGAAGAAAAGGCGTAAAAGGAAAGGCAAGTTATCACATATCAAAGTGAAAAGGGGAGGTTTCAAGGTTATATGAGATTCTTTCTCCAAATTTTCAAATAACACAGTTGCATATTAGGAAAATCGAAATCTCCTGCATTGCTACGGATTCGACTGCTTAGTTGCATCTGCACCATGTGAATTTTGTCCTTACCTCTATGCAATGATTGCACACGGAACAATGTGAGCATCTTGGTGGTCGATAGAATTTACAGGTGACACACCATTTCATTTTCACCGTAATCCCATTGATTTCGGCATTTTTGTATAGAGGCGCCCGAAACTCCTCTTCTCGATCTTCATCAGGGGAAGCTGTAATGGAGAAATTTTGAATGAATATTTGTTTTGTGAGAAAAATAATATTTTGGATATGCTTACCTTTTGGTATTACACCTGGATCCATAAATGTCGCCAATGTAAAATTGGCCAAGACAAAAAACGTTATAACACCCTGATACGCCGGTACCCATGGATGACTTTTTAAGTAATATTGGCAGCTGTAAAGGGGAAGAAAAAAATGAAAATAAATTAATAAAAAATTGAGAATTTTTTAAAATTCAAAAAAGGACATAAGAAACGGAGTAGGATATCAAATAAGAAATATTGAGTGCTTTTACAGTACAATTTTGGAAAAGTAGCCTATGATGAACTTTGCTATCGGAAAAGATATCTTCGATGAAATTTTCATTCGGAAAGACATCTTCAATGAAATTTTCTATCGAAAAAGTCATCTTCGACGAACTTTCTATCGCTAAATTATCTCCGACAAACATTTATATCGGAAAAGTAATCTTTGATGAGGGTGAGATGAGAAAAATGCAACCAACTTCAGACAGCTGTCATTTCCAAGCCACTCGTCCGACAGCTGTTAAAATTATTCCAGTGACAGCTCATTGTATTGTTTGCAAGCGTACAAAAGCATTTTGGTGAGAATTTTCCAGAAAAAAAGTTATTCGTGATGGAATTCAGGCGTAATAGCATGATTTCTTTATATTTGGCTGGAAAACCCCACGTGGATATCGTTGGAGCACTCCAGCATTTAAAATGTCCGTCAAGATAAATTTAAATTTAATTAGCAAAGACACAAACCAAGGTGATTTTTTCTCCGGTTCACAAAGGGTTAATAAAGAGAGAGAGAGAGAGAGAAAGAGAGAGAGGGAGTAGTAAACCAGAGAAAATTAAAGGTAAACTAAATTATATTAGTTTTCATCAAATTTCATAATTCTCCCTACAAATTTCAAATTTAAAATGAAAATGCTAAATAAAAACCTAATTAAAATTTACGTTGAAAAACTTTGAAACCCTTAACTCTACATTTAAACCGAGAATAAAATATTTAAAAATGAAGTGGTGTTGTGGCTGGGCACAAATGAAAGATCTCGAGGAGTACTTTCCGAATCTGTGGACCTTATAGCCAAAAAGAATTTTTGACCTGTGAATTTTTTGCATTTTCTGAAGAATTATCGCTCAATTTTATGGAAATTGCAGATAAAAGCGTCCACAGAACAGAAACTAAAAATGAAGCGGTGTCGAGGCTTGGCACAAATGAAAGGTCTCGAGGAGTACTTTCCGAATCTGTGGACCTTATAGTCGAAAAGAATTTCAGACTTAGGAATTTTTTGCATTTTCTGAAGAATTATCGCTCAATTTTATGGAAATTGCAGATAAAAGCATCCACAGAACAGAAACTAAAAATGAAGCGGTGTCGAGTCTGGGCACAAATGAAAGGTCTCGAGGAGTACTTTCCGAATCTGTGGACCTTATAGTCGAAAAGAATTTCAGACTTAGGAATTTTTTGCATTTTCTGAAGAATTATCGCTCAGTTTTATGGAAATTGCAGATAAAAGCATCCACAGAACAGAAACTAAAAATGAAGCGGTGTCGAGGCTGGGCACAAATGAAAGGTCTCGAGGAGTACTTTCCGAATCTGTGGACCTTATAGTCGAAAAGAATTTCAGACTTAGGAATTTTTTGGATTTTCTGAAGAATTATCGCAGATAAAAGCATCCACAGAACAGAAACTAAAAATGAAGCGGTGTCGAGGCTGGGCACAAATTTAGAAATTAATTAAATATGTGTTGCAATTATTTTTGTATTTTCTGTATTTATAATTTGTATTCAACAATTTTTTGTCAGTGCATGTATATTACCTTCGGTTCAATTTTAACTCCAATCAATGCTCTCACTATTTTTCGAAGTTCGAATTGAATTTGTTAGATTTGATTTTAGCTTTACATTTGCTCTCACTGAGGAAAGCTCTAAAAGCTTTTACAAAAAACCGAAAAATTTAACAAATGTTCTTCATGTGTAGCAGAGTCGTGAAGAGGGAGAGAGAGAGTGAGAAAGAGAAGCAAGATCCTGCGTAAAGTGTTTGTGAGAAGACAAAGAACTAAGTGCGCGCTTCCAAAATGCGAACGTTACTATATCTTTTTTTTTAGGAATTTTTTTTTTGTTTTAAGAAAATGCTGCGTCAGAAGAGTGCAATCCGGCGTTGGAAAACATATATTTTTGTACACATGGGCCATTATTTCGTTAATGCTTATTCTGCACTAAGTTAATTTTACACCAACAAGTACTAGGTTGTAGGAAAAACGTGAAGACACTATTTTTTATTTCAAATATTTAATTTTTATTTTCAAATTCATACTTTGATACAGGACGAAAATTATTTTTTTTATTTTTGAAAATTAACGTATTAAAAAAATAAATAAATTAGATAAAAGAGTTTAAAATATAAAAAAAAAAATAATTATAAGTAAATCAATCCAATTGACATATTATATATATATATATATATATATATATATATATATATATATATATATATATATATATATATATATATATATATATATATATATATATATATATATATATATATATATATATATATATTCGAGCAATAAGAATACAAGCAATGTAATAGTAACAATACAAATATACATACATATACATATATTTATTTATTTTCTTTTAATTTATTTTTTAATGGATCTTATGGAAATTGTTGGCATAGTTCACAATTACACATTTCTATACTATTTTTGCTATTAATATACTTGAAGCATCCTTTACATACAGGTCGTTCGCAGGTTTTACAAGTCATTATATTGTTTTCGCAATCAACTCCACAGTGTAAACAATACGAGCCCTTATCGTCTGCATTGTCTATTAAGATTTTCTTAATATATGTCCTAAACTTCTGTTGAACTTCGAGATTTTTTAGCTCACTTTTGGCAAGAATGCGTTCAACAAATTGGATATATCTCTTTGGATATAGAATAAGCATAAACGAAATAATGGCCCATGTGTACAAAAAAATATGTTTTCCAACACCGGATTGCACTCTTCTGGCGCAGCATTTTCTTAAAACAAAAAAAAAAATCCTAAAAAAAATAAATAGTAACGTTCGCATTTTGGGAGCGCGCACTTAGTTCTTTGTCTTCTCACAAACACTTTACGCAGGATCGTGCTTCTCTTTCTCACTCTCTCTCCCTCTTCACGACTCTGCTACACATGAAGAACATTTGTTAAATTTTTCGGTTTTTTGTAAAAGCTTTTAGAGCTTTCCTCAGAGAGAGCAAATGTAAAGCTAAAATCAAATCTAACAAATTCAATTCGAACTTCGAAAAATAGTGAGAGCATTGATTGGAGTTAAAATTGAACCGAAGGTAATATACATGCACTGACAAAAAATTGTTGAATTCAAATTATAAATACAGAAAATACAAAAATAATTGCAACACATATTTAATTAATTTCTAAATTTGTGCCCAGCCTCGACACCGCTTCATTTTTAGTTTCTGTTCTGTGGACGCTTTTATCTGCAATTTCCATAAAATTGAGCGATAATTCTTCAGAAAATGCAAAAAATTCACAGGTCAAAAATTCTTTTTGGCTATAAGGTCCACAGATTCGGAAAGTACTCCTCGAGATCTTTCATTTGTGCCCAGCCACAACACCACTTCATTTTTAAATATTTTATTCTCGGTTTAAATGTAGAGTTAAGGGTTTCAAAGTTTTTCAACGTAAATTTTAATTAGGTTTTTATTTAGCATTTTCATTTTAAATTTGAAATTTGTAGGGAGAATTATGAAATTTGATGAAAACTAATATAATTTAGTTTACCTTTAATTTTCTCTGGTTTACTACTCCCTCTCTCTCTTTCTCTCTCTCTCTCTCTCTCTTTATTAACCCTTTGTGAACCGGAGAAAAAATCACCTTGGTTTGTGTCTTTGCTAATTAAATTTAAATTTATCTTGACGGACATGCATTTAAATCTGAATAACTCTTTTGTGACTCGTACCATCGCTCGTTACCGTGATACTGGTAGCGTAGCCCGACGTCAAGGAAGTGGACGGAAGAAAACAGCAACATCAGCAGAAATGGTTCAAAAAGTAAAGAAGAGACTTGATCGAAACCCGCGTCGCAGTGGCCGAAAAATGGCTCGTGAGCTGAACGTATAGCAATATTCCATTCGGCAAATATTGGAAAATGAGCTCGGGGTAAAGCCATTGAAATTCCAAAAAGTGCAAGAACTTACACCGCAACAAAAAGAAAATAGACTCAAAAGAGCTAAAGAGTTGCTTCGCTTGGCCGAATGTTGTGAACTGCCGAATTTGGTTTCTCCGCTCCGATGAGGAAACATTCGTTGTCCAGCAGTTTGTAAACAAACAAAATTAACGTGTTTACATGCCAAAGAGGTCATTGGCCGTTTGAAGCCCATAATTCGTGCCAAAAGTGACCAATTCGAACAAATCTAAACTTATTCTAAAATTTGGTGTTATTTCAGAAATTGTTAGCTTTCAATCAATAAAATTTAAAAAAATATGTAGAAATAATGGCGTTTGACTTTGTTGCATTTTTTATCTCACCCTGTATGCAGAAAAAGTCAACTGAAATTTTCGAGAGGAAAAGTCATCGCCGATGAACTCTTTACCATAGGAAAATTCTTCTCCTCGATGAATTTTCGATAGGAAAAGTCAGTCATCTCCGATAAGCTCTTCTATAGGAAGAGCCATCTCTCCGCTGAACTCTTCTATAGGAAGAGACATCTCTCCGCTGAACTCTTCTTTAGGAAGAGTCATCTCTCCGCTGAACTCTTCTTTAGGAAGAGTCATTTCTCCGATGAACTCTTCTATGGGAAGAGTCATCTCCAATCAACTTTTCTATCAGAACTTTTCTATCGGAAAGTCATCTCCTATGAACTATGCTCTCGGAAATATCATATTCCGATATTTAATCTCCGACGAGATTTTCTCTATACGGGAAAAAGTCATCTCCGATTAACTTTTTCTTATCTCCGATGAACTTTTTCTAGCGGAAAAGTCATCTACTATAGGAAGAGTCATCCCCGATGTGCTCTTCTATAGGAAGAGTCGTCTCCGATGTACTCTTCTATAGGAGAAGTCAACTCCGATGTACTCCTCTCTAGGAGAAGTCATCTCCGATGAACTCTCTTCTAGGAGAAGTTATCTACGATGAACTTTTCTAAGAG